GTAAAATGTGTATTCGTGTCTTGTTATGTGAGATATTTTTATTGTATTTTACGGCCACACCACACGTTAGATTTATAATAATAATAATAATAATACATTGTAATATTATTAGTATCAGTGCGTCGTCTGTGGCATAGGCGTTGCGAGTCCGACTTGTAATTGCAACATACCAAAATTTTGATCATGGTATGGTGCGTCGAAGGTCGACCGAGCATAAAAAGCGTATTAGGATGTATGTTCTATGGAAGTAAAGACGGCCCGCCTAATGCTGACCACATTACCCATCTAATGCCGATTCGTCTGTAAAATTATGGGTGCTCTTCCCATATGCCTGATGTGACTAAACGCGTGAAAAGAGATCTTTCTTTTTTATTATTATTATTATTTTTTTTATCAATTGTAGCTTTAATAGTAATAATGGTGTTAGTCTCCTCATACTGAACCCAACAATCCACTACAAAATATGAGCTCACTAAATGACACTTTCGTTCTCACTTGCATGAGAACTGCAGGTTAAACCTGACTGGTTTAACCGTTATAGGTGTCCTAATGATAACTTCTTTGGAGGTTAAACAATGTGTCACCCTGGTAGTGTAAACATCCCAGAGGAAACACACTGGTCAGTCTATATGATACTTTCTGATTTTCTAAATAGTGTACTCTTTGATGGCTTACCTGCACCAAGCTGTTTTCGATTCTTTTTCTTCTCCAGAGCGTTCACTGGCTGTAAACTCTGGAGGAAAGTTCAACCTCCGGACTCAAGTCCTATTTCAGAAACGGAGTGCTGCGTGCACATGCTTTTCAAAAATCTGACTCATCTGCATACAAACTGTTGGTTCCTTGCCACTCAGGTAGATGTACTCCGACTACGAAGGAAATTCCCAATTAGTCGACTCTTAAGACATGCTTTCTGGCAGGCAGTGGGTCTATTCTTGTTTTCCCACACCGTTGGCCCCTGAACTACAAGGGGGAGATTTCGATTCAAGGTGGGGTAACTTGAACATAACAGTTGTTTTTCTTCCGTAGGCGGGATTTTTTTTTACGACCTACTGAATGGAAACAACATTTCCCGTTTTAAACTAAAATACGGAGTCTCAAATACATGTTACACATGTCAAATTTTACTTTAACATATCGCAGATAATTTTTTTTTTTTCATTATAATCTAACATTATTTTCCCAGAAACCATTGAAATATGTAACAACTAATCTGCTACAATAGGTACAATAATGATCAACCTGCGTCTTAATGTTAGACGACTCATTTTTTAGGTTGTATTAGGGCCCCCTGGCTATTGACGTGGGCCCTAATATAACCCAGCCTATAGGCTGAACTGGGTTTTTGGGACCTGTCCTCGGGTGATCCTCATTCGAATAGTGGCGCCTTGTGTCACGGGGTGTTTATCGCTCAGTGTGATGTCCTGGTGTAGTTGAACGTCAGTTAGTCACTATCATGAACATGGAAACAATTTTCATTTCACACACACACACACATACACTCACACAGACACACGCACGCACACACACACACACACACACACACACGCACAATCAAGAAAATAGAAACAATGAGGATATCACAAAAATGATAACATCGACCATTTTTAACATGAAGAACTACGTAACAATGGGCATAGAATCACAAATGATAACAATAATAACTGGGAAGTTCATAAAACGGAAACCAGTCGTATGGCAAAAATTATACAATTAATAATCTTCTGCCTGGTAATTAGCCGTGCAATGTGCAAATAGTATTTCTTAAGCAAGCATCTCTGTAGCAGTTGGTTCTGGAGCATGCTGGTCAAACAATCTCTGGTCATACAATCTCTGGTCAGACAATCTCTGGTCAGACAATCTCTGGTCAGGCAATCTCTGGTCAGACATTCTTTGGTCAGAAAATCTCTGGTCAGACAGTCTCTGGTCAGACAATATATGATCAGACAATCTCTGGTCAGACAATCTCTGGTCAGACAATCTCTGGTCAGACCATCTCTGGTCAGACAATCTCTGGTCAGACAATCTCTAGTCAGACAATATCTAGTGAGACAATCTCTAATCAATCAATCTCTGATCAGACAATGTACGCTCTTGTCTAATAATTCAAGACCGTCACCGTATGTAAAGTTGCACGTCGTTCGCAGGTAGCATCGCACCAAAACTCCGAACCTTGCAGTGAAGATGCAGCCCTTCAGGAATTCGTAAAAACCTGCTTTTGCTAACCACGCAACAGGGGCTACCATGTAATCACCTTATGCAGACTGCTCAACCACTTCTCCACGAGACCAGGAGTGTCAGCTCTTGTATAGTTTCTGAGACGAAGTTCCCATCTCCTATGTTTAATTATAATGCATTAATTAAATGCACAATGAAGGAATGTACAATGCAGAAAAGCTAGTGACGAATTAAACACCTGTGCAGTTGAGATCACGTGAAATTATGGAATAAGGTGAACATGACGTAAATATTCCCAGAGTTGACCCATTTTTCATTCACAGTATTCACTTTCTGAAGGTTACAGATGTTGTTTGCTTTTTGTGTTGTCTTCCATTTATGTTTTCATTCCGAGAAAGAAAATGCCTTTGACATGGGTTGCAGCCAGGGCTCCCAATGGGATTGTTTTTTGAAAAACCCAGCTTAGCTTAACAAAAACCCAAGCATTACATAGAAAAAAAAAAAAAGAAAAGAAACCAGACTGTTTAAAAGTACAAACTTTATAGTTTCGAAACGAAACATTTACCCACTTTTATATAAGAATATATTAAAAAACACACCATATTTTAAAATTTGAACACAAGGCATTAAATAAAAACCCAGATCTGGGTGTAAAAACCCGTCATTGGCAGCCCTGGTTGCAGCACTCTCTAAGTGGTTTGTGTTTCTCTGGCAGAGTTGTTTTAGGACAAGTGCTACACGTTTTTGGAGCGTTAAAAGCGCTGGTATGCTGAAATATACAGGAAGCGATATCAACGGCATTCCTGAACACCCCTCTAACCGTGTGCGGAAGTCACGAGGCTCAGGAATTACCAGTCAGACGTGACCTAGTTTGTAAAACGGCGGAGCGTGGGAAAATTTGCGTTATGTTTACCGAGAATTACAAATCAAGGTAACTATAACACACATATCCCCACGTCCAGCCCATCAACGGCATCCCCAAACATCCCCGTAACCAGGTGCGAAGTTGACAGATTTCAGGAACTACTAATCAGAAGTGACCTATTGCATATAATAGACGGGGCATGGAGAAATTTGCGCTACTTTGACCCCGTAGGGGTGTTTAAACTGGTGAATGTAACAGGAGAAAGGGGACATATATCCTAATGTAATTTCGTTTGGAATAAGAAGCTGGTTGTTCCCTTCTAAGTCACGAGGATTAAAAAACAAAAAGCATATAAGTAAACATACTGGGAAAATGTATAACGACAGAGAAAAACAAAAAACACTACATTGAAAGATTTGTGAATTACATCAGAATAGACGCATATTTAGTGAGTCAATGCTTTAACGGCATGAGAAAGAAAGCTATTGAGTGGACTGATTAGTTATGACTTTCCTTGGCCTGAAATAGGTGATAATGACGTCTGTGGTGATAACACGAATCTCTAACTTTAGCAATAATAGGTCAACTTAAAGCATTCTAAAGAATGACAAAGCACACCCACAGAATATATACTACCGTAAAGCTACGTGTGGGTGTGTGCTCGACGTGTGTGGAATTTTCAATGCCATGCCAAAAGACTGTCACGAATATTTACTTCTTGCCTTCCCCTTTGTCTTGTTCAGTAAATATTTTCAGTTGTCACACTATTAAAGCGTTGCTTTTCTCATAATTTACACAGTAATGACAGCTATACTTTCTACTGGGGATAAACCAGTTTGTTGTTTTAACCTGTTCCATAATAGTATAAATATACAACACTTTCACAGGAAAGGTTGAGTATCTACTGAGAAGCAAAACTCTTAGTGAGGTTCAGGCAGCTGTTTTGTTTTTCACAGTACATACACATCTGGCTGGCACTATTGTTGGTCAATGTCAGTGGCTTTTATATTACGAACACCAGTCATAATTTTAAAATACACAGTTTGCCATGTTTTGAAATTGACAACAGTAAGGAGCGTCGACCGTTTATTGAGGCAGTGGTAAACAACTGGACGTAAAATTACCTAGTAAAAAAGGAACGAATATGCGGGAAGAATAATTGCCACTGACCTAGTTCCCATAAATACCATTGACGTTAGCAGCTGTGCATGTTTCACATAGTCTAAATACGGTCCTGCTTACAAATGTGCGATACCATATAAGCACAATATTTACACCATTTGCCCTTTTGCTGTCTTTCCGTTGGCCTGTCCCTGCTGGCACTTAGAAGTCATCACAGAGGCACTGCTCCGTCTGGTACTGCTGTTCCCATTTATTGTTCTTTGGCAGAATTTGGAACAACTGAGAGGAATCATCTCCACCTTGCCCTCCTTTGTAGAAGCTCGTCGCATTTCGCTGGTGAAAGTGAGACTTCGATTGTCATGTGACGACTGTCTTGTTGGCAGGCAGGGCATGTGAGAGCGAAACTGACCATGAACCTGGTTAGAGAAAAAAATCTATAGTTTGTTGCGCCATAGAGATATGGATAAGAGAAAAAAAAATAGATAGGTGTTTTTCCAGGGGAAAAAAATCGTCACGTTCAACCAACATCCCCGAAGGAGGAGCTTTTGGTTATAGTTGTGACTGGGTTATGTGACCCTATATAATTTTTTTAAATAAAAAGAAAACGAAAACGTTATCACAGCAAAAATGTTTTTAAAATTATCAAAATTATCTTAACATTGCACGCCACCTAGAACCATGAAAAAGACTACTCATGCGTTGTTGGTGCGATCAAAGAAAACAGACCCAAATTCTGTCCTCTACAGGCGACGAAATCGTCTACCGGCGAGCTAAGGGGCGACACGGTCGCAGATGATAATAAAAAAATAAGAATAATAGCTTTTAATTTCAACCAACCTTAGGAAGCCGCCCGATTATTCGAGCATATTAGACTTTTGCTGTTTGAACTACACCCAGAAAAATCACTCCCTCGCACATTTTCAAGGAAAAGAGAGAGCGAAAGAGGGAGCGGAGTGGGGGGGGGGAGGGGTCGGGGTGAACTCATTTCAACTTGGAAATGTCTAAGGAGTTTAAGGGGCTTTTTCAACCACGTGCGGGGGTGGGGGAGGGGGGTGGGGGGGGGAAGAGCTCAAGCTCCAGCAACCCATCTAAAAAAAAAGGGGGGGGGGGGGGCAAATTAACCCAAGGCTCTAGTTTCAGACGCCTATGCTTTAATCTCAGTTTGAATATCTCCTTCAGCGTGTCACGACTCGAAATCACACTTTTTTTAAAAATAACCTTGCCTTTCAGGTCGACCCAGCCTTGAGTGGGGACCGGGTGCAGTCCTGGGAAGTAAAGCCTGCCGGCGCGACGTGATGCTGACTGCATGACCCACCAAGTGCCGCTTGGTCTATAACATATAGGTCTAGCCCCATATGCCCTCTATGGGTGTGTGGTAATGTTATAAACAGTGTGAAAAATAGGATCATTTTATTTAGTATGGATTTTCTAATGTTATCGAATTGTCGCTTCTCACAAGCTAGTGGATGCCTGTCTAATTCGATGTTCCCTAATTGTATCAGTTGTGTTAAATGTTCTCGATCAGGCTGTTACATCTACAAATGTGTACATTATAAGAACAATTTGAAGGAAACCAGTGTACTACTGAAACCCTTACTTACTATGTGTCGTTCATTCTTGCAAAATATCGTTTTAACAATGTCTAAGTTCCAATGGACCAAGAGGTGAAGAAAAGATTATAGCGTTGGATAGGACACACGTTGAGAAAATTTGAGAACAATATAACTAGAATGTCTTTGCACTTGAAACCACAGGGGCATAGAAATACAGAAAGACCAAAAAACGCATAGAGGAGGGAGCTAGAGAGGGAAGTTAAAAAGATTGGGAAGACATGTGGAGTGCTGCATGCGATAGGGAAGGATAGAACGACCTGGCTTGAGTTGGTGGAGTGAATATGCTCCATTGGGGGCTAGAAAAGTAGTCAGTAAACACTACTCTTATTAAATATTAAAAAAACAATAACCCATACTGAACATGACTATCATAAACTCGGAACAAGATGACATAAATAGCAGCTTACCTCATTGTTCAGGAAGCAAAATATGGTTGCTACTGCTGTCCCCTAAAGTTGGGAAACAAAGTAACACATATATAATACTACTTAAAATGCAGGAAGTCGCCGTGGCCGAGCGACTAGACGCTCGCCGCGGATCGGAAGGTCGTGGGTTCACTCCCTGGCGGAGCCGGACACTTATTTCAAAAATGACCTTGGCCCCTAGGTCGACCCAGCCTTGAGTGGGTACTGCGTGCAGTCCCTGGAAAGTAAAGGCGGCCGGCGTGATGCTGACCACATCACCCATCTTGTGCCGATTGGTCTATAACAATATAGGTCTAGCCCTATATGCCCTATACGCGTGAAGGCGTGGAAAAGGGTCCTTTACTCTTTTTTACTTACTTAAAATGCAGCTTTAAAAAGCTTTCGCAATATCGCTATGTTTAAAATATGAGAAAATAATACCCGCCCTGCCCCTCCACACCCCACAATAATAACAATGAGAATCAAAATAATAATACATATAATAAACGCACTTGTATGACAAATTTGGCATAAGAGTGTAAGGAAGTCACCGTGGCGTAGTGGCTAGACGCTATCGTGCGGATCGGAAGGTCGTGGGTTCGCTTCCTGGAGGAGTCTGACTTTTTAATAAAAATTGCTTTGACTCTCAGGTCGACTTAGCCTTGACTAGGTACAGGCTGCAGTCCTGGGAAGTAATGGCGGCTGGGTTGATGCTGACCGCCCATCTTGTGCCGACACACACACACACACACATATATATATATATATATATATATATATATATATATATATATATATATATATATATATATATATATATATGCATACAAACATATACATTCATATTTAGTGTACGTTGATTATGTGTTTGCGCCCTATGATACTCATACTTCGGTACTTGGTGAACTGTTACATCTTAGCATCATCGCGGTCTTCAGTCTAAGCACCAACATTATGAGGGCGATTCATTTAATCGAAAGTTATTATTTCGTGTGGCTTCTAACGCCTTCTTAATGTTCTGACTGCTACTGTGGCAGTGTCTGCTGCACAATTGTATTGTGTTTCTTGCGTGTGAAATCTTCATCTATGTATACACTCTTCGGGTGGCTGGGTCTACAAAGACATCCTGTGTGGTGAATTCAAGATGCGTAGACGATGTAGAGGCTGAACCTCTACAATGAAATACAGATGTGTGCAAGCGGGACATGAAGGATGCGTGTATTGAGATGTATTCGTGGGAAGAAAATGATATGTATCATTTCCTGTTGATCACACTAAATACAAATGTTGGCAACAACGGTCCTGAAATCCCGTGCTACAATTGGGGAAGCCATTTTTAACGCGGGTGGGTCTTGCTAGTCACACTCGCCATCACCATCGGATGTGAGTCATGTGTCTCCTCATAGCACAATATACCATTATCGTTTGGAAATACAGAGGGGTGCAAATGAAAGAAATGACGTTACTGAACCCAATTTATTCGCTCACGAAATCGGACAAGAACTTCTTCAATCGTGATCATTTACAAACACTAGTGTTCTTTTGTGTGCATGGCTATCATTACCTCGTATTACTGCAAAATATATACACTGTTAAACTTGTGAATTTAGTGAGATAACTGCTGTCGTCCGGCGTGATACTGACCAAATCACCCATCTTGTGCCGATTGGTCTATAACAATATAGGTCTAGCCCTATATGCCCTATAGCCTTAAGGCGTGGAGAAAGGTCCTTTACTTACTTTACTTACTGCTGTCGTCCATGACACAATCGGACGTGTCGCAAACTTCAGCAAAATGCGTAAACTCCGTGTCATAGTAATCAAAGATGAGAAGGGAAGGAACCTTAATCAGTGGCAACTCTTCGAATGCAAATGTATAAGTATGGAAAGAGATGCGTTTCTCTCATGCCGTTCATGTTAGTGATTTAGTTAATACAGAATGAATTAAACAACACACCGATACATCTGTAAGTGCTCAAGCATCCTCGTATCGATCACACTTTGAATTCTTTAGCAGGAGATTACAGCAAAATTGCCGATAATCACGCATCATATACATATTTTCTGTAGCTTTTCTAATTTGTAAACTGTGTGTGGGCAAGGTTCAGTTTGACTTACAATTTTCAGTAACCATATGCCGTGGGTTTTTTAATGTGTACATTGTACAGAGAGGGTCACCGTGGTGTAGCGGCTAGGCACTCGACTGCTGATCGGAAGGTCGTGGGTCTGGATCCTGACTGTACCAGACTTTTTCAAAAATTAACTTTGCTACCAGGTCGACCCAGATTAGAATGGGTACTAAATAGTCTGGGAAGTAAAGGCGGACGGCGTTATGCTGAATACTAACAACATCCCCCAGGAAGGGCACATTATTTTATAAAATACCGGTCTAGCCCTATATGCCCAATACGTCTGAAAGTGTGGACATGGGTCCTTTATTTTTGTACATTATCCTCAAGATTTATCTCAATCATTCCTCAAATAATTCTGAAAAACTAGATGTCCTACCCATTACCCTAGGATCAGAAGGACTATGTCATGCCTTTTTAATCAAATAAACGAAGCTCCGAGTATCTCTAATCTAGTCATCTCCTTATGAGATGCAATTTTTCGTTATTTGAAGCCGTCACCATGGCTCTTGTCAGGGACCGCAATATAACCCAACAATAAATATGGTCTAATGGCTAACGCGGTTTCTGGGACCTCTCCACGGTAATCCTCATCCACATGGTGGCACTTTGTGTCATCAGGTGTTTATCGCGTGTGATATGTCTAGTGGGTTAAGGGGAAAAAAAAAACGATTCTCCTTATGCCACTGCTACGGTCGACATGTGGTGGTGGACCTATTTTATAACATACTAATCAGCTCTCTGTGTGCTATGTTGTCTATGCCCATTTTAAGCTTAGTCAACCTGTGATAAAAGACCAATAGTAATAGAAACTTTCAATTTGAACCTAAGACTTTCGGATCGGCCACTGACCAACTACGATTCTATGCTTTTTCTTACTGTAGTAAAGTTCAGCCAACACCGTGTGATGAACCCTAACAGTTTGAGGGCAGAGTTGGATGCCATGACCTCTTAAAACATCTTGTCCGGTGTTAAGGTAGTAAACAAAACTGACTGCCATGTGTTCACGAGGGGTAAACACTGAGTAACCGAACTTGTGGTCCCTTTCTTCATTGTCTAATTTGTGTTCTAACTGAACATATTCGACTCCAGTATTCTTCGGAAATATAACAACTGACTTTCATCTCGGCAATAAACAACAGCGTAAAGTAGCTCTGTTATTGTGCTTCTGAATTTGGATAATGTTCTTACGTTTCATTCAGTGAACTTCTACATAAATTACAAATTTACTTCAGTTAATTTTACAGTGCTTTTTAAGATAGATACATTTCATATTTTTTCCTCGTTATTTTAAATCACTTTCAAGTTGATTTAGTTACCGTGAGTTTAATTTTGATTGTATGGTTCGTATATTATATTTGGTAAAATGTCACGTCAGTTTAAAATCCGAATTATGTCTTTTTCTCCCGCATACAGTGTTTCATTTCGTACATTTTAACATTGATTTACAACTGAAGTAGATAATGTGAGTTTGCTTCAGTTCATTTCGGGAACTTCAACTTCAGTTTAAAGTCAAATAATCGTATGATTAAAAATCTTTTGGTCATATCAAGCGCCACGACTGATTGGGAAACAAATATAGCAGAAAGCATACTACCAGGAAGGAGGGGCAGGGGCCGACCGACACGAAGATGGGCACAGGATATAAGTGACTCCTTGAGTGTGAAAGTGCATGAGGCGGAAGAACTAGCGAGAGACAGAGTTTCTTTCAGGTAGACCGTGATGAGAGCGACTTTCTGCAAAGGACCTGCTACATGATGATGATGATGATGAATCTTATGAAAGTGTACATTTAAATATGGACATTGTTTAGATGCAATTATTGATTTCCTGAGCCATCAATGTGAATGCGTTTTTTTCCCTGGGACTTTTCGTAGATCTTCATCATCTGAGCGATTTTCACGTGAAGCTCTGAATAAAAACCGTAAGTACAATTTTTCTTTCTGTACAGCATTTTTTATCTTTTTTAGCATTGTTTTTCTTAGTTAGGTCTTGGGTGGCGGGCAAGGGGGGGGGGGGGGGGGGGGGGGCTTTTTTTTTAATACTGCTTGCTGTAAAGTAGTCTTTATGTTTCTGTCTCTGTGTGTGTTTTTTTTCCTGACATATCTCTTACATTATACCCGAATTTGTCGTTTTAGAGGACATTATGCTGCGATTTGGATCACCTCCTATTTTTAAGACATGTGTCCTAATTCTTAAACCATTAACTGACAATTATTTAACACTGTTACAATGAAATAACACACGTATTTGTATGTGTCTGTGCAGTATGGAAAACTTCTGTATGGATCAACACGAATGTTTGCATGTGGCCTTAGATGTCACATGTCCTTGTGATTTTATAGTTTACAGTTCCGCAGGTGCTATTATTTTCTAAAAGCAGCGAATGCCTTTGATTTTTTGTTTTACTAAATAATATGTGTACACATTAAAATAGAATAATCGAAAATTGACATACACCTTGAGATTTTTCCGAAAACATATAACTTGTGCAGCAATGCGTGATGATTTTTTTTTTTGGGGGGGGGGGGGAGAGGGGGAGGGGGGGGGGATATCATGTCCCACAGACTCACAAAAAAAAAAAAAAAATTCCTACGAAAAGAATACGAGATGATGTTTAGAAAAATTGCTGCCACTCAATTAGCAGAAAGCATGTTGACTGTTTACTTAGAATCGGTTTCTCTTTTGTGTATACTACAAATTTGGGCGAAATCAAAACTATATTTTTTTTTTAAATTTAAAAAAAAAAAAAAAAAAAAAAAAAAAGGGGAAAAAAAATAATTACAAGGGACACGAATATTGACCATCCAAATTTCAACAACTTACAACAAACGGTTACAGAGGTACATATATTTAAAGTGGGTCACGACTTCTGAAGCTTATTATAGGATATATAATTGATTCTTGTGTTACAGATATCATAGCTATGACTTGAACATACGAGTATACACATATATTACACATAGAAATACAGAAGACACATAGTACCTTAGCACTGAAGGAATCAAATGACAACTATATATTACAATATATTTTTCCCCATTTTCTTTTTCAAGCTGCCCACGCCTGTGACTATGGTAATTGCACTTGTCCGCGGACTTCTATTTTGTGTAATAACAATAATTTTCTTATACATGGTGTAATTTTAGTGACTAAATGTTTTAAAAATATTACTATTCCTGTTTTTATTTTTACCGTCTGTGGAGTTGATGCAGCATATACTGCTAGAGAATGTTTTATTCTGGGTAGCTTTTTCCAAATTACAGCTCTACTCACAATCGATTCTGCTGGTTATATTAGGATGAGGCACCTGCGTTTCAGGAAATACATTACAAATTTGTGAACAACCACATTCGAATACCTGTCGCCGTAAGGAAACACATGCTTAAATAGTTAGCACAATTAACGTTAAGATAAATTACTAAACTACTTGCATAAAGCAGTGATATTCCAAGTCAACGGTTACATGGCGCTTTGAAACATAACGTAGTATATAAATTTACACTTGTATCATGGCGTGGCGCACACGCCGTCTAGAGATGACAGGTTCAATTCCCGGCACGGTGATTATAGCTTTCGGTTTTTATGTTGTCTAGAGTATTCTTCTATCTTCCTTCTAAGAGTGCCGATTAATACACTTTCTATTACTTGATTAATTCATAATATATACATTTAACTATTGTGCGCAAATAACTGATTTTTAAAAATCTAGTCTTCAAACATATACCCGATATAGGTTCCTCAAATTCACGCCACAAAGCTATGATCTTTTCTTGACCTAAACATTTGTTTTTTTCTTTTTCAACATTTATTGTCACAACGTACATTAGTCACCATTTTTTATGGCGTTTAGATTGTGGGTCTGTATTTTGTCATTCTTCACCATATAAGGTTAAAAACTGGTTCCTGTGACTTTCTGATGTTTTGCGAAGTTAAAATAACTATCAAATTACTAATTAAGTAACCCTTTTTTTGTCAATTGTTTTCTCAAAGTTGTGACCAGCACCTTATAACTGATGTGCTTGATGATAGCATTTTACCTTACGTTGTTTCCATCAAACAGATGGTTAATATATTCACAGAACATAAAGATATGCTGTAATGCATTCATTAAAAAAAGGACATATTTTGTACCTGCGAGTTACTGATTATTCTAGCAACAACTTCATAAGCGAAGAAATTCACCACATTCCCTGGAGGCTGGTAGACGATCAGAAACACTTGGAGGCCAAACAATGGAACGAGAATGAATGTAGCTTTCAGTGCGCGTCTGTAGATGATAAATATATATACAACATTTATTGTTAACATGGTCTATTAGATGAACAATAAAATATAATTTAGTAAAATGCGTGCATTCTATATAAGGCAACAGGCATTACATTCTTAAACAACTTACCACAATTATCTAACACACATTCTATAATGCCAGACTGACTCTCACAGCACTACTTGTCACAAACAAAAATATCTATCAGTGTTTCTTACCAAACTTCTATCATTGTCCTGTTAAGAATGCGCATTAACCACTGCGGTATCACAGCTTGATAAGTTAGATGCGTTTCCTTTACTGGACTTTGCAGAACCGAACCCCAACATTTTTAGCTGTTGTGATTTTTCTTGGTAAATTTTACGTTCAGTAGCTTGCCATTGCCCTAGACGGTCAGCTCTCAGTAACACTGTCGAAACCAAGGCAAGACAAATCGTCCGCAGCTGATATCGAACACGGCTCCCGAGCATCACAAAGTGTTCGCAACGCATAAGCCATAGAGGCCGACATATCTTGTGTTTACCAGTTGTTTATTCTGGTATTTTTTATTCATATTACTCTGTTCCGTTTGGGATTATAACTGACACAGATATGAGCGCCCCTGAAAGAAAAAAAATATAACACCAGAAAAGAAACTGATTAGAATTGAACTTAATTACCAACACCCAGATATGCCGTTGCATATCTAGAATACATTACACAACAACATGATCACCAATTTTTAGTGTGATTAGTGAAAAAAAAAATGGAAGCAGCGGGGATGATGAGAATACAGTGGACAGATAAAATTATTAACAAAGATATCTTGAAAGACACTATCACACAAAGAGAAACTCATTGCACACATCAGAAGGGGGCAAACTACATTCTTAGGTCCTGACACGAGAAGGAGAAAACTGGAGCCCACGACGGTAGGAAAGTTAGAGTGGAAAAGGGTAGAGAAAGACAGAGAAAGAGAGAGAAAATGCTGGACACATTGACTCTATGGCACGGAAGACAATCTGTTTCAGAACTGACAGAAGACAGAAGTTGTGGACTGATATGACTACACTACCACTAACAAGAAGACGATCATCATCGACTCTAGAGGGACTCTTTAAATGCTATCATCCTATCTTCATTAGCTTTAGTATTTCAAAGATTTAGGCAGTAAAAAGCACACATTCTCTAAACTGCTTTCAGGTGGTATATTTCCGCGGCAGACATATTTCACTCAGATATTGTCAACACCCTTAGAGAGATAGGACGTTCCGAGGATTTTGGGAGCAACGTGTCTACATCACTGCTAAGAACACGCGAAATGGGAGTAAAGATCGGCACAGCCAAGCATGCCAAGCACAACTGACGCACACGACATCTTGTCAACCGACATATGACTGGTACTATTAACAGCGGGATGCTGATTAATTTGTTAAAGGGGTAATCTGAGCACCGGTTGTGATGTCCGGAGTGCTGTGAAAATAATCCAACACACAACTTATTTAAAATTACCATTCAAATATACCAATACATTTTAAATTGCAAAATAACATATATAAAACATTATCACGCATATGCCCGTAAGATACCCTGTCGCAGACGTCATTTCACACATATCTCTGATTAGATATGTCTTTTTGTCCTGATTTGTGCCATATGATCGAGCCATCGATACATTCAATATGTTGTTTTTGTGGATCGCTGATGCAGTAGTTTGCCTGTATTTTTGCCTTTATTAGCAATGGCAGTTCTAATTGATGACTACACTGTCTCCATAAAGCAATAGTTTATCCACTGATAGAAATTGCCGACAATTATCAACTAACATACATACCTACCTAGCTACCTACCTACCTACCTACCTACCTATACCTACCTACCTACCTACCTACAACCTACCTACCTACCTCCCTACCTCCCTACCTACCTACCACCTAACCTACCTACCTTAGCCTACCTACCTGCCTACCTACTACTTACCTTACCTACCTACTACCTACCTACCTACCTACCTACATACATACATACATTACATACATACATACCACTACATACATACATACATACATACTACATACATACTACATACATACATACATACATACATACATACATACATACATAATACAAATTACATACATACATACATACATACATACCATACATACATACTACATACATACATACATACATACATGCATACATACATACATACATATACATACATACATACATACATACATACATACATACATACATACTACATACATACATACATACATACACATACATACATACATGCATACATACATACATGCATACATCCATACTATCCATCCATCTCCATACATTACATACCATCCATACAATCCATACATACATACATACTCATACATACATACATACATATACATACATACATACATACATACATACATACATACATACATAACATAATATAACATACATACATACATACATACATACATACATACATACATACATACTACATACAGACATACATACATACATACATACATACATACATACATACATACATACATACATACATACATACATACTACATACATACATACATACATACATACATACATACATACATACATACATACATACATACATACATATACATACATACATACATACATACATACATACATACATACATACATACATACATACATACATACATACATACATACATACATACATACATACATACATACATACATACATACATACATACATACATACATACATACATACATACATACATACATACATACATACATACATACATACATACATACATACATACATACATACATACATACATACATACATACATACATACATACATACATACATACATACATACATACATACATACATACATACATACATACATACATAACATACATACATACAGACATACATACATAACATACATACATACATACATACACCCACATACATACACTACATACATACATACAACATACATACATACATACATACATACATACATACATACATACATACATACATACATACAAACATACATATATACATACATACATACATACATACATACATACATACTACATACATACATACATACTACATACATACATACATACATACATACATACATACATGCATACATACATACATACATGCATACATACATACATACATACATACACATACATACATACATACATACATACATACATACATACATACATACGTACGTACGTACGTACGTACATACATACATACATACATACACACATACACACATACACCTTTACACCTTTACACCTTTACACCTTTACACCTATACACCTATACACCTATACACCTATACACACATACACACATACACACATACACACATACACACATACACACATACACACACACACACATACACACATACATATATACTTACATACACCAACATACCTACCTACCTACCTTCTTCTTACAGACAGATTGACAGACAGGCAGGCAGGCAGACAGACAGACAGACAGACAGACAGACAGACAGACAGACAGACAGACAGACAGACAGACAGACAGACAGACAGACAGACAGACAGACAGGACAGACAGACAGGACAGACAGCAGACAGACAGACAGAGACAGACAGACAGACAGAGACAGACAGACAGACAGACAGACAGACAGACAGACAGACAGACAGACAGACAGACAGACAGACAGACAGACAGACAGACAGACAGACAGACTGACACATTTATCTTCTCAGAAAATTACATCTTTTTATCTGCTCAATACTGTTTCCTGTCTAATTTGTTAATGGTTTAATATCAGTGATCCTCTGCCACCTGCTAATAAAAGTCCAACATTTGTCCGGTAAACCAATCGTAAGCTTGTCGCTCGGTATGCTTTCTGCTTTAATTAGGCTGCCACGACGACTTCTTATCTCACAGTACCTTCTTCAAAAAACCAAGTCGTCTTGTCCCTATCCGAAAGAAAAACACCATCCGGTAATTTCGTGCAGCAGGGTACCAGCCCTGAGCTTCATGAACTCAGGTGGGCCCACCTCCGAAAGGGTCTAGGAATCGTGGGCCGAAACACTTGTCGACGAGGATAATTTCTACTGACGACTGGTAGATCCCTGCTGTACTTGCTCCCTGTGAGTTTATTCCTATCTTTTTCCTAATAATCTGTTAGAACTGAGCCACTCTCCGGAACTCCCTCTCCTGATAGTCTCTTATGCCATCGTGAAAGGAAACAGTTTGACTATTCCTCGATTTTTCTTCTGGCCCCGGCAAACACACAGACGATAAACAAACCACTGACTTGTATTCTCTCGACATACGTTGAATACAGTGTTAAAATAACTAAAAACTAGGAGATTGCGTGTTGAAAGATATTGTAAAAGCGACTAATTAAATAACCGTTCAAGCATTTTGCCCAACGGCACAGATATGGCAGCCTAGCTGTAAACAATATAACTTAGCATCCCCCTTTTCTTTGCATACGCAGATAAAAGAGAAGAAACATTTCCCGTTGTAAGGGAGGTAACTGTTTTAATGTCTCGACTTTTAGAAATGAATAAAAACCTTAGAGTTGAGAAATTAGCTCAATAATTTATAGAAGAAATTAGGTCTTTCCTGCTAATTAATTTGGATTTGGAAAGGGGGTCTTTCCTGCTAATTAGTTTGGATTTGGAAAGGGGGTGTTTCCTGCTAATTAGTTTAGATTTGGAAATGGGGTGTTTCCTGCTAATTATTTTGGATTTGGAAAGGGGGTGTTTCCTGCTAATTAGTTTAGATTTGGAAAGGGGGTGTTTCCTGCTAATTATTTTGGATTTGGAAAGGGGGTGTTTCCTGCTAATTAGTTCACTGTTACTAACCCTTACGTCCTTTTTAGTACGTAGTTTTTTTTTATTTGAAGCCCCACTCTGGCTTTTGCCAGGGGCCGCAATATAGGCAGGCCATAAATATGGCCAATTGTCTGAACGCGGTTTCTGGGACCTCTCCACTGTGATCCTCATCCACATGGTGGCACTTTGTGTCATCGGGTGTTTATCGCTTGTGTGATGTCCTGGTGGGGTAGAAAGTCAGTCAGTCAGTCTGCTAATTAGTTTGGATTTGGAAAGGGGGTGTTTCCTGCTAATTAGTTTGGATTTGGAAAGGGGGTGTTTCCTGCAAATTAGTTTGGATTTGGAAAGGCTGTAACATTCCTCCCATGTTAGCCAGGACAGATGTATGAATTACTTCACTTGCATTATTTTGTGTTAGTGACAATAAAATGTGCATACCTTAGGTAAATGCCTACTAATATTCAGTTTCGTCCTTTTTAGGATGACATAATTTGTTATTTGAAGCCGTACCCTGGCTTTTGCTAGGGGCCACAATATGGGCAGTTGAGTGTGCAAGCGTGAACCGAATCGTAAGATACTTGGTCGTGTGCGGTATACTCTGTATACAAATTAGCACACATAATTGGGCAAGCGTGTTTACCGTACCTGTAGTTACTTGGTTCATTCGGATGGCTCTGTAGTTGAGTCAGCAATATCCTCAATACGTTCGTTAAAAAAGCGACGTTTATCTGAAACATATACAATCATATTTAAAAAAAAAAGGGGGGGGGGTGAGGAGTAAATACATGTATAGTGACTATTACAATAATTGTCAATACAGTCGTCCCCATGTGAGATGCAATTTTTCTTTATTTGAAACCCCATCCTGGCTTTTGTCAGGGGCACTGAATATAGACGGGCCTTAAATTTGGCCTAACGACTGAATGGAGTTTCTAAGACTTCTTCACGGGTGATCTTCATCCGCATGGTGGCACTTTGTGTCACCGTGTGTCTATCACTCTGTGTGATGTCCTTGTGGGGTAAATTAACTTACTTACTCAAAGAGTAAATTTGAATAAAGGTTGTTGCGTATCCTTTACAGGACGTTGCAGAACCAACCCTAACAGCCCCTGGCTGTTGTGTGGTTTCTCTAGGCAAATTTACGTCCAGTAGTTTGCCATTGCTTACTGGACGGTCGGCTTTCTTGATACCACTATCGAAACCAACGCAAGGCGCATTGCCCGCAGCTGGGATCGATCCCGGCATCCCGGCATTACGAAGCGAAGCGTTCGCATCGACTTAGCCACAGAGCCGACAAATTCGAATGATTGACACATAAAATATTATTTAAAAATTGATCAAGTAACTAATACATTTAAAATGAGCACCTGTACAGTCCTTACACTAATGACATCTTCATCCTCAATGTCGACATGAAGACCTGTATCATCAAGAATTTTGTGGACAGGCGTTCATGTTTCTTGATAACTCTACAACAGCGTCAATGCCTACAATAAAACTTCTCTACTATAAAAAAGCTGTCAATAATATTTTTCTTTTAGGTATCCAAACTTGGGAAGTAAAGCCGGCCGGCAGGATTTTTTACCACATCACGTATGGAGAGCTGATTGATCTTCACAAGTATAACCACTACACGCCCGATGCGTCAACGGGCGTACTAAGTGTCCCTTGCTCCGCATACATAGAGCGGGAAAAAAAGTTAGCATTACGCTTACATTAATAGTAAGAATTACCGCGGTAAACATTAAATGACAGTTCTAAAATGGCCAGCTAATTGATCTTTTTTATTGCTGTTTTTTTTTTTTTTTTATTTGACGATCACAACCTACTGGAGATCACAAGAGAACAAGTCGACACAGAACCAATTCTAAATTAGATATACACATAGCAAATCAAATGTTTTCCCCTCGTGACGCCGTACCATTTAAGGCATACAAGAAATGAGAAGAAAGACATAGAAAAAGTAGATGATGGAGACATAACATCAAAGAAACTCTACAAAAGCATGATGTGTCTGTGGTCTAGGCGGGCAGAAGAGCAATAAACAAAATTGTATATCTCCCTCGACAGCCGAAGCGGTAAAAGAGGAAGTAAAAAAGAAAAAAAAAAAGAAGAAATAAGCAAGAAGAAAAAAGACCGAAGAAAGAAGAAGAAGAAAAAGAAGAAGAAAAAGAAAAAGGAGGAGGAAGAAAAGAAAATGGAGGAGGAAAAGAAGAAAAATGAAGCGGAAGGATGAAGAAAGAAGAAGAGAGAAGAAAAAATAACAATGAAAAAGAAGAACATGACAACGACGACAAATACAGTTTCGAAAACAAATGCTGCCTTGATATCTCAAACATTATACTCTTAGTGTTGGCAACACGTAGTCGTGTGCAATGAGCCCACGCCACCCACATATACGATCGCGCGCCCATACGCGTACTTATCTGCGCGCCAGTGCATAACATTATGTCTTGGCATATCCCTTGAATAATATAACAACATTTCCCCGTCCAGAAAACATGAAAAAAAGAGAAATATTACTACATCTAATTTTAACTGGGAGCAATCACCATTTTATATACACAGAGCGGTGGTAGGAGAGACAGTAGGAGAGTAGGATTTATATAACTTGCAGAACTGTTTATCCCTATAGCATTAATTCAAACCTTACCAAAATACACACAAGAATTGGTCCGTACATAATCCACTCCAAGTTATTTGCATTGGAAACCCAACACCTGAAAAAAAATAAAAAAAATAATTTATAGTTAACATCAGTGATTAATTAAATGCATATGTTAAAAAAAAAAAAAAACTCCAGGCTTCAGAGATGTCGTGTATATAAAGGCCACAAACAGCGTCAGTTGGTAGTGTTACGTATATATACATTCCTACGTCCTTTTTAGGACGTAATTTTTTGTTATTTGAAGCCCCACTCTGGCTTTTTCCAGGGGCCGCAATATAGGCAGGCCATAGATGTGGCCAGTTGTCTGAACGCGGTTTCTGGGACCTCTCCACGGTGATCCTCACCCACATGGTGGCACTTTGTGTCATCGGGTGTTTGTCGCTTGTGTGATGTCTTGGTGGGGTAGAAAGTCAGTCAGTCAGTCAGTTGGTGGTTATGCAATGTAATGTAAAAATGGTAGTTACAAAGGGAAGATAAAAAAGTATATTTCGTGAGATTTTCCAATGAACATATAGTGAGATGCTTGGTGTAAATATATTGGGTCACAGGACAGTTACGAAGTAATCTGAAGTCCACTGTAAAAAAAAAAAGAAGGGAGGGAGGGGAGGGGGGGGGGTGGATTTGTCGTGAACTAAACATTTTGTTCTATTAGATTTTTTTTTTTAAATCCTAGCTCGTCCGGCGCCAGATTTCGTAGGGAATGTGCCAGGGTCATTTCTACAATCTACGTGTTTTATTTTTTTTTTACCTGCCCTTTTTCAGCGTGTACATGAGAACGTGCAGATAACTGCTGACTCGGGACTGAAGCAGCGTGCCGACACGTGTCTGGACTTCCTGTGACCGGGTCGACACACTGTATCCCAGAATGAAATTTCAGTTTTTTTTTTTTTCCATCCTAAACGAAAGTGAGCAAAACACTTTGCCCAGATGAAAGTTCACAGGTTTTTTTTTCCTTCCATACGAAAGTGAGCAAACCAATTTTCTGTAAACGACTGTTTAAACGTTAAGGTTAGTATCGGTGTTAGGGTTAGAGTTACATTACAGGTGAAAGAAATTCATACGGAAAGATAAGGCACGAAGTAGGACAGCGCTTTCCCACAGAACCGAGCGAGTACCACTAAACGAACAAAAGTAATAATCAGTACAAGTTATTACGCAATATTTGACACACATGCCGTCATTGTAACTGACTCACAGAGCATGTTGAAAAATGTGAAACATTCATGCTCAGTCTAGAGTGGCAACCATCACTTCAAAGGTGATGCCAGTATGTTGAGAAATGATCAGCCAGATAGACTGGCCAGTTCTGCACCACTTGGCGGTAAACTGAAGTATGACAAGCTGAATGTTGTGTGGGTCCTTTGGGAGCGAGTGACCAGTACAAAGGCACATATAGATCATTACGGTCTGAGGAGAATGGCACTGCGACGAGTTACAAGGGGAATCCACTCTTAGGGGAAAGGCGAGACAGATTTACAATCAGACGGTTACTGGTACCTTTTGAATTTTAACTCTTCGCCCAATGCAGAATATAGGGGACTGAGCGTTTATAGGGTTGTCCTGAGATCTGTGATGTCGATTCTTAATTTAACATTCAACGCAATAATCGATATTACTATTATAAAGAACCAAGACATGACTCACCAAGAATATAGTTTTAGTGGTTTTTTTTAATGGATAGTGTTAAATGAATAGCGAGTTAAGTAAGACTGACCTAAGGCCTAACCCTGCAAGACGCAGGATTGTCCTGGGGAATTATCTACGAAACCTTGTTCCAGACGACATAGGGTGGAGGAAGAAAACTGAATAGAACCAAAAGACTGCTACAGATTCGTTAATTTAGTTCTTCCTTTAGTTGTGCAAAGAGTAATTTCGTTTTACTCTGTTGAGTTTTTTTTTGTTGTTTTTGTTAATAATGTTTTCCTCCCCCCCCCCCCCCCCCCTCAAAAAAAAAAACGTTTTTTTTTTTAATTCCCTTAAATTAACTTTCCTTTTAATAGTTAGGCCAAAGTAGTATTTTGTTGTGTCCAGATCACATTTATGCTGGATTCTTCTTTATTTACATGTTTACGCCAATTATAAGCTCACGAACTAGTTTCTGTACAAGTTCTCAAAGAGAACTAATTTTATTATCATTTCATACAGTTCATCTACTTCCTCTCACATCATCGTGATGCCGATAGGCGTTGGCTGATAAGTATCACCCTTTCACAGTATCACCAGATTAACGGACCAGAATGATGTCTTACCTTTCGTATATGGCTAGGGTTATCCAAGTATTTATGTCTTTGAATTCCTCTTTTGTTGTTGTTTTTGTTCACCAGTCTTGTCAGTTGTTACCGATCAACTCCATCTCATAACACGTCCCACAAACACCGACTGTCAGCGTAGAATCTTTCTACTCGAGGGAGCTGCGTGATCTCGAGGCAAGGTGTCCGCATCAAGTGCTAGAGGTTCCGGGTTCAATACCCGGTAAGGGCTGGGATTTGTTCACGTTCACTTGAACTTCTAGTAATCCCCTCCCTCCGGTCTCTGGGTAATGAGATCAGACGCCCGTGTGCATTGTTGCGCAAGTAAAAAATTCCTTATCAGTTGGAAATCGAAAAGAGTAGACTAACGACGCTGCCTGGGCAAAATTTTGAGTTACAAACCTACCTGAAGTATTTAATGTCATCGTCGGTGCTACAAAACCTGTGCACTGTGCTAAGCTTCTTCAGACTCAGACTTGAGTTAGAAGAAGAACGGAGCACTTATAGTTTACTACTCGTCTGCAATGATGTTGATCTGTTAATCAAACCTCAAGCCTCTGTCTACTAGGTTTTCTTCTTCTTCTTCTTCGTCGCGTTCACCGGCTGTACACTCGGATGGAAAGTTATGGTTTTTCGTCTAGTTCTGGATTTTATTCTTTTTCCATAAATATGTGTTGCGTGCACGTCCGTTTTACGTATCTGACTTATTTGTATACAAACTTTTAGTTTTTTACCTCTCAGGCAGATGCACTCCCACTTTGAAGGAAGCCCCAATTAGTCGCCTCTTACAACATGCTTGATAGGAAGGCAGTAGGTCTCCACAAAGAGGACCCTTAACAGTTTACAATGCGCTTCTGTTTCGAAGACAACTGATTGATTGATTTTTCTATCATCTCATGAAAATCGTTGAATTCTCCTCAAAAGAAGATATATCTCCTTGGCGAATGCATGATTTACGTTTATCGTGGGGTTTGCAAGTTTGTGAAACCATGACAATTCTTGGCCGGTCGTTTGGTAGGAAACGGTAGTTTGTCAACTGCTTTTCTTCTCTAGTCGGCGTCTGTGACGTAAGTGCTGAGAACGCGCTTTGTAATGCCTGGTGCCAGGTTCAGTTCCAGCTGCAGGCGATTTGGCAGCAGACAGTTTTGCATTGGTTCCGGCAGTAGTATCGTGAGCCGAACGTTTGGAAGCAAAATAGTAAATTACTGAACGTAAATTTGCCTAGAAAAATTGCAACAGTTAAAAAATGCTGGGATTGGCTTTGCAACGTCGTGTAAAGAATACCTAACTATTTGCAACCCCCTATCCTCAACCCCTCCCCCCCTTTCCCCGTTTTTCCCTATCTTCACAATAATCACATTAATGGGGTGACCGTAACCGTTATAACTATAATGTGTTTCTCTGTCTACCCTCAGGAAACTTGAGACGACGACTAACAAACAGCCTGTCTTTCGGATGCCGTCACATTCAATCCACAATATGCTTCCATAGTTTCAAATTACCATGATAGCAAGACTACACAGGCACTCCGCCTTGCCCAAGGATGGTCCTTCTGGTTTTGTTGCCAGAAATCCTGCTGACTTCATTATCTTAAACAGCATGCCTCTCAACTCACTAATTTGCACACAAAAAAGCTTCCTTACTAGTTTTTATTTTCTTTTTCTTTTAGCTTGACCCTTTCTTTACCACGGCTCTTTACTTTAGCTTATGTATGCATGCGTCCAAAAAGGCATGTCAACATAATCAATCTTTCCATCCATGCAGGAATTCAGGAAGCCTGCTTGACTGACTGACAAATTTATTCCAATCATCAGCAGAGCTGACAATGGGATTTTTTTAAAACCCAGCTTCATTCATTCATTCAGTAGCATGTTCCTCGCGGAACCTCGCAGCCATAACAACCCTCCGGAAAACCTTCCTATCATGAGCAAGATGTCCTGCGTCTGATACACCCATCTGGAGATCATCTGCCACACCCTGCACCCATCTTCTCCTTGGCCTTCCTCTTCCTCTCTTCCCAGGCATATACCCCTCCATTATTGTTCTCTCAAAACTCAGCTTAGCTAATAAAAATCCCAAGCATAACATTTAAAAAAAAAAAAAAAACAGATTGTGAAAATGTACACAATTTATATTTACGGAACGAAACTTTTACCAATTTTATTTAAGGATATATTTAAAAAGAAAACCAGATTTCACCCAGGTGTCAAAAAAAAAAAAAAAAAGATCTGGAAAGGGGAAACAAAAGGGGGGGGGGGGGGGGGGGGGGGGGGGGGTGTTAGCATTCGTAGCCCTGATCATCAGTGCAGGCAGCCAACCAACATGCCAGAAAAAGACAGGCGTGTCTATGTATAACAATTTATAATCCTCTACTCGCATAGGAGACTCGCTTTCAAATCCAACTAGGACTTGCTACAGCCCATGGCCAGTGTTCGAAACCAGGCGGTTCCTGGGATTCACCCAGCCGCTATTCAATTGTAAACACTGTGGGGTAAATGGAGGAACGTCGCTGTAGCTATAGAGTTGCGTGCGGACGGCGACACAGACAGACAGTTTCTTATCAGCTGTCCGTACTGGTGGCAGAGCACTTATGGTTTACAACCGTGTGCAATGACGCTGGTTCACGTCTCCCGACTTTACCTTCACTCGCAAATGTCCCTATCTTCATAATCACCCGTGTACACCTATAGCCAGCCTTACATATTTATCTCAGCACAGTCTAAAACACACACACATACACCCACACCACATAGCATTTCCACACAAACTTAACCCCACATAAAAATCTCTAGACCAACGATAG